GGCTCCCCACATATCTGAAAAAGGACTTTGTATTGTCCTTGATGCTCGAAGGTAGTTGGAGTTCAGTTGCAGCCTTGGCTTCCCTGGTTTGCTCCCTGCAGGACCGGACCAGTGCAGAATAATCCTCCTTGGAGGTGAATCCCATCCTCCATCCTTTGTAGGCCTTTCTTTTTAGCCTCAGGAGGTCTGTTAGGTCCCTGGAGAGCCAGGGGGGCTGCTGTGCCCTCTTGCTGTGCCTCTTCCTGACTTGCTAAACCCAGCTGGAGGACTCTCCACCCTGCAGCCCACGTGTGGGAGCATGGGGCACTGGGAGCAGTCAAGAAAGCCAGGTCATAATGGTTGGATGAGGAGTGCCAGCCCTACCCAGCTGTGCCAACACACTGTACCAGAGCCTTTCATTCTTTCAGAGCTGACAGGGCCAAGTCCTGCCCTGTGCCCATAGGGCAGGCACAGTTCAGGTAGGTTGGTTTTGGTAACAAGTAGCACACCAGGGAGTGTCATGGGCAGCCTTACACCCAGCCACCCTGGACTTTCCAGCTTGAACTGTCCATCACAGCACAGCCAAATGGCATAGCCTTCAGTGCACAGCCAGAACTTTCCCCTCTGGATCTGTAGTGAGCATCTGGAACCCCTCTTTTACTGCACCTGCTCCTTACAGAGCTGAGTCTATCAAATAGGGCTCCCTGTGCATCCAGCTGTGCTATTGTGAGCTATTCCTGCAGCATTTCTTGACCACAGATGGCTCTGGACACTGGCAACATACCCAGTGGCGAAGGAGAGTCAGTGGAACCAACCCCCATCTCCCCATAGATGCCCACTGCATCATGCACCCTCCTTCCTCTGCAGCCTGTCCCCATGGAGGACACCCGCCCCGTGAGAACAGTGCAGTGTGGATTCAGCACTGCCTGCTCTTTGGACCTGTTTTCACCAGTCTGTGCCAGTCTCTGTGCTGCCCAGCATCAGCACAAATGGATGGCTCCAGGCACCTTGCGCTCTCTGAAGTGGCGGTGCCTGTTTGATCTGTCATTTGAAAGGGCTTCTGACTGTAGCTGTTTGCTGCGTGTTTGTGTTGCACGCTTCCTAGCCATGTATTTGTCAGGGGTATAATTTGAGACTAATTAGTTCTCAGCTCTTGGGCCTCGGGAAGGAGTGGCAGCACCTGATGGACTGTGTTTGCTAAAGCCAGTGTGAGAAGAGAGCGCGTCACTCTTTCATCTCATAGTACAAATAATTAGAATAACTTAACCCAGGCCCCCTGGGAGGCTGCGCCAGCTTGAAACAATCCCTTTCATTGCCTGGCTACTCTGCAGGCACAGCACAGAGGAGCAGAGGGGGCCCCAAAACTCCTGCTTTCAAAAGCTTTCTGCTTTCTATCTGGGCCCCAGAGGACCCCAGTGTTTTCTGAGGAGCCACAGTTTAGACTCATGCCGCTTCTCAGACTGAGTGTAGCTGCAAGGAAGAATGACACTAGCTTGGCAATGAGTGATAGGGGTGTAGCCAGGGGTGTGCACATCACACCTCCCTTGACTGCATGCTGGTGGCTGATGCTCGTGGGGACAGTGGGCTCTGTGACCTGCCTACTGGCTCCAGGTTTGAGTGAAGGGCTCAGGCAGAGACTGTGCGGCAGCATCTCTAGTGCTAGGAGGAGCCAGGTCACTGTGAGATCCAGGAGTTCTCCAGTGGTTCGGCATTAGGGATTCCCCTTCCCTGTCCCTATTCAAGTGGTTCCCTGCGTACAAGAGATCCAGCTCCAGCTCCCTGTCACGGTACATATTTCCTGCAGAGAGAAGGTTGAGGTTTTTCCTGCCTCTCCAGGATTTCAAAGCAATATAGCCCTCCCAGCGCCGGTAACTCAGGCTCCTCATGCAGATTGGATTGCAGCCTTTGGTGATAATTTCCCGAGCCTTTAATATCTGTGCACTATGAGGTTGAGTTACAGTTGCTGTGGGAACCATAACTTTGAATTTCTTGATTTAAAAGAGAAAAAGAATTTATTTATAGTCTTTTTTTTTGCTTATGAATCACCTTGTTAATATTGATGAGACGGAAGAAGAAAGGGAAGCCAACTTCTAAACAGAATGCACCACATCAAACAATGATCTGTTTATTTTCCCTTCTGCAAAGCCCCCGTAATAGGCAGAAATGAAACTACAAACGGAGGGAAAATATGCTTGGAAGTATGTGGAGAGGAGGAAACAGCAGACGGTCGGGGAGTTAAATGAAGTTGATAAGAGATCAAACTAGCACATTTACTATCTCCAGATTGCATTGGAAGTTGCACCTTTGCAAAGAAGCAAGCTTTTGTTGTCAGCCATACTGATGAACCTGTGCCCAGTCCCTCAGTGGGGCCTTTGGGCTGAGGACAAAAATGATTCACTGGCTTGGAAAGGCAGCAAGTTACTCAGTGCAGGGAGTGCAGCCAATGTCATTTATGCACTGTGAGGATGGCCACAGGAACCGAACCAAGATGCAGGTGTGTTCAGTTATGGGGCTGTGACAGGGCATGGCAATGAGGCTGGGCCTCCAGATTAGGGACAGACATTCAAAAAGCCTGAGCCTGAATTGATTCAATATCTTTGCAGGTTAGTCTAACCTGCAACACTTGAATCAGTTTGGAGGTAGATAGACATTCCCTTTTTATTCCAGAAATGCAGGCACGTGCTTGCAGTGGCTCAGGCTAGAAGCTGGGGGGCACTAGAGCAGCCCTTCCTTCCCTTCCACAATGCTGAGCTGAGGGTGGGGTGTGGTCAGGCTCTGGCAGGACCTGATTAGGGAATGGTTCTCTGCCCCCCCTCACCAGCCCAGCAGGGAATTGATAACACAGTGTCTATCAACCCTAACTCAGTGTTTATCAGCCCATTAAGAAAACAAAAGAAAAGAAATGCTTCTCTCATTAGTTCAAGCTCTTCTTAAACAACTTTTTCTAAGGAAGGAATAGAGAGACATTACTAGCTTACCTGTTGATTAGCTCCAAAAAGACCTAAGCGGACACTGTCCTGTCTGCCTTTGTCCCATCTTATAGTTTCACAGTTTCATAGTAGCTAGGGTCAGGAGGGACCTAAACAGATCATCTAGCCTCATCCCCTGCCACAGGCAGGAATGAATGCTGGGTTCACAAGACCCCAGACAGGTGATCATCCAACCTCCTCTTGAATTTGCCCAAGGTAGGGGCAAGGACCACTTCCTTGGGAAGTTGGCTCCAGAGTTTGGCCACCCTAACTGTAAAATATTGCCTTCTGATCGCTAACCTAAACCTATTCTCCATCAGCTTATTACCATTGGTCCTTGTCACCCCAGGTGGTGCTGGAAGGGCTCTACCTATTTGCTGTTGATCTCCCCTGATGAGTTTGTAGGCAGCCACCAGGTCCCCCCTCAGCCTCCTCTTGGCAAGGCTGAACAGGTTCAGGTCCCTCAGTCTCCCCTCACAGGGCCTGTCCTGCTGCCCTCTCACCAAGTGGGTGGCCCTCCTCTGAACTCTCTCCATGCTGGCCACATCCCTTTTGAAGTGCGGCGCCCGGTACTGGATGCAGTACTCCAATTGCGGCCTAACCAGCATTGCATAGAGGGGGAGTATCACCTCTCTGGACCAGCTTGAGATGCACCTTTGGATGCATGACAAGGTATGGCTGGCCTTGCTGGCTGCGGTCTGGCATTGGCGGTTCATGTTCATCTTGGAGTCAATAATGACTCCAAGATCCCTTTCCGCCTCTGTGCTTTTAAGGTGGGAACTCCCCAGCCTGTATGTATGCTGTGGGTTCCTTCTCCCAAGGTGCAGCACCCTGCATTTGTCTACGTATCTCCCACAGCACGGACCATAGCCAGCATGTGGTCTGCTAGCTAATGCTGAGAGGTGTCTGTGTAAGGCAGAGGGGACGGGGGAATCCCTGCTTGTGCTGGGAGTGGTGGAGGGAGGAAGGAGGCAGGACAAAGTCAGGCAGACGCTGCTGTACCTGCAGTCTCTGCCAGAGCTCCAGCCAGGAAGCAGAGGGGAGGGACCAGCCCAGCTCTCTGGAGCAGAGAGCCCCACTCAGTCCAGCCCAGAGAGCATACTGGGATGCTGAGGGACTCTAATTTAACTTAAACCAGAAAGGGGTCTGAGACAGACATTGCATAAACCGGTTTTACCCAAATCAGCTAAATCTGATACTGCATTCAACCAGGTTTATCTGAAACCAGTTTCAGCCATTTTCAAACTGGTTTATGTGCACTGAACATCTGTTTTGTTACAGGTTTAAACCAGTTTCTGATCACTTAAACTGGTTTATGTGTAATGTCTGTCCCTAAGCAAGGAGTTAACAGTTTTCTCTCCCTCACAGGTGCTTAGGGAAGGGGCAACAAGACTGGCTAGGGGAGATTCCAGGGGAGGCGACTGTGGGAGGGTTTGCCTCCCTGCTCCTGGCACTTCCTGGGGGAGGAGGTTGGGTGCTGGTGGTAGAGGGTAACACATGGACTCATGCTGTCTACTTTCTGCCAAGTTAACACAGTGGCTGCTTTTTCTTGCCTTCCTGCAGTCACTTTTCCTGAGGCAGCCCTGCCCCTCTTCTCACTGGGGAGTAAAATACATTGGCTTCCCTTTGCTTCCTGAGGGCCAATGCACTCCATTGTTTGCATCACCCCTGACCTTGGTCCTTTAACCAGTTCCAAGCAGGCCAGTGAGCCTTTAAACTGTGAGTACCTGGAGATCTTTTAGACACTGCCTTTGTTGTTTTGTTCAGATTTGTTTTCTTTTAATTCAAAAACAGGAAAGCTCATTTCCTTATTTTGGTCGAATGGAAAGCAGTTGGCAGGTTCAGCTTATCTCAGAACTCTTCCTTCATTTCATTTCCTCTCAGAAGAGGAAGAAAAGCCCCCAGCTCAGCTTTCAGTGGAGAAGGAGATGGAAAAACCGCTTGTTCTTGCAGAGTTAAGAAAACAAGCTGATCCTAATGGTAAAAACGCCCCTGATTATAACTTGGAAAGGATCAAACTAGCCTGATTGGCATATTTTGCTCATCACAAAATGTGATTCATGCTCTGCATTTTGGAGCTCTCTCATCATTTAACTCCAATTAAGACTCCTTTTTTTTGTTGTAAATTTGGATTGCGGGATTTTGGCAGGACAAGAATACAAGGAAACCAGTCTCTTCAGATCTTTCAGACTGTGTGAAAACCTTTCTATAAACAATTCAATGTTGACAAGGGAACTTTCCATTTTTCTCCTCATTAGGCTGCAGATTTAGAAAGAGGAAGATCTGTTATTTAGCTCATCTAAGAATAGAATCCTTAATAGCATCTTACATTTCTATAGCATCTTTCATCCCCAAAATGTTTTGCAGACTACAGATGGGTTTCAGGGCACGCTTCATCCCCTCTGGAAGGCAGCCACTTCTGGGGCGGAGCACAGCAGCTTTGTAACGGCTGACACCAATGCTCTGCTAATGGTCAGAGGCAGAAGTGAAGCTGTTAGTCCTGTTTCTCTGTTGCCTTGTGCTTCAAGCTGTCATGTACAGCTGTGCAAGGTGAGGGGAAAACTTTGCCGTGCAGCTGCCGGAGCATTTGACAACCACTGTACACAGGTGTGAAGGATGACACAGCTTCAGTTCACCTTCTGGCAGCTTCGTGCCAGCCAGCTTGCTGCAAAGTAGCCACATGGCAGGCTTAAAGTTGGGCTTAACCTTTCTAAAATGTCACCTGGGCTGGAATAGGGTCTATAAACAGGATATCTTACACCTATGTCAACAGCAGAAGACACCAAAGCAAACGGTGCCGGGATAAGCTTCTAATAGGCAGCGAGCCTGGTGGGAGTATGTCTTGCTTTTAACCTCCTGCTTTACCTGGGTAAACACTACACAGCTGTTTCATGTTTCAGGCAATTAGTGCAGAGGGCAGAGCACCCCCAGGGCCCACCTGCTCCTCTAACAAGTGAGGTCCACAAAGCCTGCAGTAGGCAGCACACGGCATGTCCAGACCTGCTTGTCCAGGGACAGGAGTAGGTGCTTGTCTCTGATGGCAGCTCCCCTGTGCGATCGGGGCTGAGCAAGGTCTCTTCAGAGAAGATCTTGGAGAGTAGACTGGGGGGCACTGGTGGAAGCTGAGGAACAGAATAAGGAAGGCTCTACACCCTGTGCTGCCTTGAGGGTAGGATCCAGATTGGCTCAGGGACACCGGCACAGTCTGAGAAGGGCAGCTTGCAAGAGCAGCAGTTGAAGTCCAGGGTCGTCCTTCAGCTCTGGGATCAGCCCGTCTTGGGCTTGCAGGTCTTGTTTCTCAGACCATTATCATTAGGGCTAGTTCTGCACATCTGGGGCTTGGTTCTACAATGGTGTAAATCGGGATAAATCCATGGAAATACCTGGAGCTCTGCTGATTTACACTAGCTAAGCAAAAGGCTGCAGAAGAACAGGGGCAAGTGACTGCAGGGGGCAAATTCTCTCCCTCTCCTCCCATGTTGCAGGGAATGGGGCCGGTGCAGGAATGGGGCTCGGCTCGGGCCCTGCTGCCCAGATATGGGGATCCCTGGAGCAGGCCAGCCCCTGCTGCTGTGATGTACCAGCCCTGCTGTTTCACTGCCTCAATCATGGCTACTTCAAATATTTGTTTTCAAAGGAACGTGAAAGGAAAGGAAACTTCCCATCCTTCCTGGCTCGGGGCAGGGTTGGGACAGGCTGGGGGGCTGGGAAACAGTGTTCTCAGCATGTAGATTAAGGAGTATGAATATGTATGAAGCTCTAATTGGCTCCCCCACGTAAACCAAGGTGCCTAAAGGCCCAGGCGTCCTGGCTAATTGTTGTAGACAATTAATAACTTGGATTCTGCTAATTCCATATCTTGCTGTGTGGTTCATTAGAAGCAAGGTGGGGGGAAGGGAGGGAGATCCTCTGTAAAAGCCACTCAAGAGTCATGGGAAGGTTTTGAGTTTCAAAACTGTGCGGAACAGAAAGTAATGGATAGGCCAGTGTCAGTCCCAGATTTAGGGATGATCAGAGTAGAGTCAAGTCCCTGCTTCCACTGAGGAGACACCACCTCTTGCTATATCCACTCATATCCTTCTGTGCATCCATTCATCCATCCAACTCGGTCTCTTAGCCATGGCCTGTATGCTGTGGCCATGGAAGTCTCCAAAGACCACCTCTTTCATATAAGAAGCCCTTGGTTCTTGCATCTCTCTGATGGCAGGAGTTTGTTAATAGGTCCATGGGCTCAACCAGGAACCAGTATTTCCAGGAGATCTGAGCCAGTGCAGTTGATGTGCATGGGAATCTGGAGAGGGTAGGAGGAAGCAGGGTTGTGAGTGTAAGGCAGTGGTTCTCAACCTTTTTAGACACAAGGTTCCCATTAGTAGATGCAAGGCATCCTTTGGAACATGCCAACTCCTAGTTTTCACTCAGTTTTAGACTGCAGAAAACTACCAGAGCAATTTCTCTGTAGCAAAGCACACAGAAAGACCACAAAAGGTTGGAATACTTTTAACACACTGGATTCCTGTTTGACATTTCTGAGTTTATCTAGTGGATCGTGTTTGCACGCCTAACAGTGCTAATGTTGTGTGGTGCCCTGCAGCACTGTTGCAAGGATTTCAAGGCACCCCAGGGTGCCATGGCACCATAGTTGAAAATCACTCGCATAAGGAAAAGCAGTCAGCTTCTTAGCTTCCCTCCATCACTGGATCACTATTTCTGCATCTTCATGGGCTTCATTCCTCACACCTGTGAAATGGGGATAATGACATGGGCAGCTTCAGGGCATCTGGTTGATCCTCTGTTACCTCGCAATAGCAGGAGGTTTCAAGCCCAGCAGAAAGCACCCCGATACCTGGTTGGTGAGTGGGGCCATTTGGAACTGCCCAGAAAGGCAGAAGCTGCCTGCACCAGGCCCTCAGGGGAGCTCCCAGCCTCTGCAGTGGATCCAAACAGTGTACATGAGGCTGCTGGGGGCATCTGCTGGGGCTGGCAGTGCTTCCCCCTATGCTGTAGGGAGGTCTGGCATGTATCCTGAGCCTGACTCCTTTCTGAAGTAGTCTGAGGAGCAATGGGCCCTGGTTTTCAGCTTCTAATAAAGCTCACTTTCCCTGGGTTTAATTTGTGTGTCACAGTGGCATTCATCAAATGCAAACGGCACCTGAGAGAGCGCAGCTCACCGGTGAAATGGATGGCACTCCGCACTGAGGTTTCACAGGCAGTGCGAAGCACATTAGGCCTGGCAGCTCCCCATTATTCATGGTGCTTGGACAAACACCCCCCCGTTCATGCCATCTCCTCTTCCTGCCTTCTCTGGCCTGCCAGCAGCCCCAGCCTTGGAGTCTAACGGCCTCCTCAGCATTCCTGAGCTTGCTGGGCTTTTAGCAGCCAGCTTCTGTGCTTCCTAGCGCATTTGATTTCCTTTTCCATTCTCTTTTAAATAAAGTTGCTCTAGAGATTCACCTGAGATGGGAACCGGGCTCCCGCAGCTATATCACTTCTGTCTGTTTGGTACATCCCTCCCTGCAGCATCTGAGTACTAGATTCCCGCTGCACTTTCACTCCTGGCATCTTCCCTTGTTCCCCTGCAACTGGCTCCCTCATACTGCTTCCTTCTCTCCCCCTCCTCTTCTCTCCTCCTTGCTCCTCCCTGTCATCTCTCCATCCTGGAGAGCCAGTGGGTGATCTGTCAGTCAACTGTTGACAGCAAGGTCCCAGATATGAAATCAGGAGGTGACATCTCATGTCTGACAGACCTGTCAGCCTCGCTGTGGGAAGCCCTACGGAGAGGAGAGGTTCCTTTCCCTCCCCTCGCAGCGCAAGGACTTCCCGTGTGCAGCCAAGGAGCTTCTGCAAGCTCTGCGTGAGCACGGCTCCTCGGGGGACAGTGCTTCTGGCAGGGCCCTGGGGGAAGAGCTCGCGCCATGGTTTGGAGCAGGGTTCTCTGAACTGCTACAGGAGGATGGGGACTCAGACTGGCTCCCTGATAAGATGCAAGTGCAAAATGAAGAGGAAAGTTATTATGAATAAATTAAGTGGACAGGCTGCCAGTGGGCAGTCTCATTGCTTTCATCTGAAGCCATGATTAAGATAAAAACATCCATGCTACCCACAAGCTCTGGCGATCCTGGCTGCTTGGCCATCTGTTGGAAGGAGGATGCCTGGGCCACATTTCCATAATGACCACTGTCTCCCCACGTAGAAAGCAGGTCACTTTAGCCTTCTGGTTGGAAGGAGACAAAGCTTTTCTCAGGGGTGCGGCGAACAGTACAGGCTGCCTGGTGGAGCAGAGTAGCCTCCGCAACTTGGGGGTTAAGTTTTTGGGCTTGCAAAACTCTCCTGGGGTTTTAGGGAGTAGTCTCCCTTTCCATGGACAGCATCACTCTTCCACAGGGCCACTGAATGCCCCGTGTGCTGCCACCTGTACAGTTATTGTGGCTCCTGCTTTCAGCTGGCCAGGGCAAAACAATGAACAAAGGGAAGCAAACACATGCAGAGCTAAAACTGCTCCACAGAAACTGGCCCACAGGTGTGTCGGGCAAGGGGCAGAGTATCAGAGTATAGGTAATCCTCGACTTACAACATTTTGAGTTGCGACGTTTCACACTTACAACGTTTCTAAATTGACACCCTGTTTCAACTTTCTGATGTCACTTCCGACTTTACAATGCTTGATCTGACACCACGCCATGCCAGTGAACAAGTCTGCTGCATTGCCCATCTCCTGTCTG